CAGATTACCGATTATTTGCTGTAAAGTGGAAGGATTCATTGTACCTACTAGTGATTAATCACAAAAAAAAAAGACAGAAGCAGAGAACAAGAATGATTAGAGAAAATTTGGCCCTCGGCAAAAAAAAACAAAGTGAAGGAGCAAGGTAGGACTGTTTTGTCTAAAGAAAACTGAAGGAAACATGGGACACCTTCATGGCTGTAAAAGCTGAGGTGACATAAGAAAAGGGAATAAATTGTTCTTCTACAGAAGGAGGACTTAAACTGCAATAGGGGAGCTCCAGCTTGCATGTTAGGGGTTACCAAGGAATATGTGGAATCACTCACATTCCAGATTGTACAAAGACATTAGACAAATGACCCTCATAGCTGATTCTTTACTCAGGAAAGTCCGTTCTATGCTTGTTTCCTAAAATCTAAAACACTATGTGGAAACAAATGAACTGACATTTGTAGGCAGATTTTTTAAGACTCTACAGTAATTCAGTTTAAAATCCATTCATAACTTTAGTCTGAGTCAAGTCAAACAACATGCCTCCATGCTCGACCGTCACTGACTATGGAAAGATCTGGATTACAATTTAAATAGAAAATTTATAGAAGCTTTGAATATATTTATTCACAGAGTTAATCTACGACTCTCTCTATTCCTTGTTTAGTCATCCATAAATCTATCCGATTTTCAGTTTTCAAATGAAATGAAGACTGGAAGTAAGTAAATACAGAGAAGGCGCTGAAGTCTGAAATAAACACAGGGAATCAAAATAATACTGGAAGGGAGATTTTCGTTGGGATGACAACAGTGCTTGTGTGCATGCATGTCTCTGTGTTTGCATAAGAGTACATGTGCATAAACACAAAATACACGTTTGCATGCATAAAATGTCCAGATGGGAAACATAAAAAGCTATTGAATTAAATAACTTTTTATATAAATTATGTAGTGAAATACACCCCCTTCCCTTCTTGAGCAATCAAAAAATTGATTCATACTGAAGTCTCTGCATTTGCAATCTAAAACTGTACGCAGCAACGTCAGTTACAATTTATTACGAATGCTTATGGCTAAAGCAATTAACATTAATTAATGGTATGTTGGAGGAAAGTTTGAGTGGCTTACCACCATAAGTTTAGTTACACTAAGAACTGAAAGATGAGGAGCTTTAAGTCCTAGGTGTAACTCTATTGGTCTATCTAAAATGTCGTAACTATTTTCCTCACAGGTATTGAGAAGCTTAAGTTAGCTGCTTCTCAGAAAGGATCTGAGATGGTAAAAGAAAAAGGTGTTATTCTTTTTTACATTTATTTAAAAAAATAATGCCTATACTAGAAGGAAACAATTTAAACAATCAACAGAAGGGAGCTGGTTTTGAAGTGGAGCAAGACCACCTTTTTTCTGTCAGTGGAAAAACTGAGAAGTACGGGGTACTAAAGGATGTATTGCCAAGAGTGGTAAAGGAAGACAGACTACAATTAGACAATATGGAATATGGCCAAGACAGGGGCCCAGCAAGCTCAAGTGGTAGCAGCCACTAAGTACCACTGCACTCCCACAGCAGCCCCTCCCAAGTCAAATTTTTGTTAGGGCCAAGTGGCTGGCACAGCTTCCTGTAGCAATTGATGTCACCCAGCCTAAGCACTGATTCAGATCTATGCTGCTTTATTCAAGAGATCTGGTGAGACTGGAAGGTTACTGCTGCAAGCCGTTTTGAAGTAGTTATCAGGAAAATGCAAAATGACTAAATGCATATAGCTTGGGGGGAGTGGGGCTATTAATAGAGCCACTGCCAACTGATAACAGAGATGGGAAGACTGTAAACCAAGTCGACAGGAGAACTGATGCAAAGTCAAAGGAAAACATTTCTAAGAATGAGGGAGGCAATCCACCATAGTGACTTAAACTGAATACTAGAAAAATCTGTCTCAACAACCAGATCTAAATTCTGAAAAGAACCAGGCCTTTGCTTAAACGACTTAACTAAGATGAACTGGCCATATGTTTCAAGGTATAAACCTGTAATAGTCACTAATGGGGGATTATATGAGCGATGAATATTCTCTATCACCTAATACCTAACTCTTTTCAAAATGATTTTCCTACTTAAAATCAATATGGTGAGGTCACTCCATTCCCTTTAACTGGCTATTGATCTTTACAAGCACATCTGTGCTACACACCCAGTATTGCAGAGCAGCTACTGAAAGGACACCTAGTGGCAAAGAAATGAGCATGTCTAGAAATCTCTGGCACTGTTGGAGGTGTGTAATTATAATTATGTAATTATATGAATCTGCAGTGTCATACATACCAATTTATGTGCCAAATAGCACTATTCATGGTTTTTAAAAAATGTGTTCTTACAAGTGCTTTTTAAAAACATGGAATTTAAGCTTAACTTCCTTAAAACTCACTGAATGTTCTGTTAAACAAATGATGCATGTGCCTCTGTGTTGCAAGAATATAAATCTGAATATCCTGAGTCTCCACTGCATCAATTTTAGGAATATCAGGTAGCTGAACAGAACTCATTACAGATATGTTTTGCTTAACAATCAAGCCAAATTTCAGCTTGCTCATCACCATTCCTTGGGCCCTCCATTGTGTCACTCTAAAATATCCTAAGCAATTCCTTCCCTTCTCATCTTTTTCTCCTATGAAGACAAACAGCTGAAGCATATAAACTGTACTTATTTAAGCTAATTTTACTCTTTTTGTTTCTGTCCATTCAACTTTACAGTCACTTCTTGCCTGTGTTTATTCCAAACCCCTTAATATGTACTAATGCCCTTGTGACCAGGAGATGCCCACAACAGAAAGCTGTATTCCAGATGGAGTCATGCTGGTCTCATGCAGAGAGGGATTATAACCTTCCAGTGTAGTGACAAGCTGCCTCTGGGCAAACAGACCAAAATCCACACTTGGCTTTCTTGTTTATGTCAACATATCAAATTACAAGCACAGAACTATTTGCTGACCACTGTCCCTCTTTGATTACTGTTTTCATGTTCCCTTTTCCAGGTTTCTCTTTCCTATTGAACACCAGGTCCTCTCCATTAATTTGCCCTTAGTGAATTAGTACTGATTTGTTAGGTCATTTTTTCCAGATACGTTTGGGGGGGGGATTATTCCATTTTGTGACATTTCTGTATGCCAGTGCTCTGTTCTCTGTCCTCACAACATTTATAACAGCTTCCCACTTAGTATCATCCTTTGATTTAAAAAGCCACAAACAAGCCATTTCAGCTTGTCTATCCTCTTTCATCACAACAAAGATTGAATCACTGGCGTGGCTATTTTTTGTTTGCTTTTTTAGGTGACTTCCTACTGAAGTTTTTGTTTAAAAAAGTCAGATTCTGCCTTACTTCTCCACAACTACAAGGAAGTAGATTGTGACATCCATTAAGGACGCTGCAGTTCCTGCCCTTACCTAAACATTAGCACCAGTTCCTCACCCAGCTCTGTTTCCATAGCTCACCTCTCCTCCACTCCACCCTTCTGAAGCTCCAGCCTGCTCTCCAGTCTTAAAATGGCATGTAGTTTCCTTCCTTTACTATAAACAATGCTTTCTGTAACCTTAGTTTCATGATGTAAACATTTAAAAATAAGAATGAAGGGAACACAAACTATGTGTTCCATTAGGTAATTTGGGGACTAAATTAAATAAAATCTCTCAAAACATGGAACATTTCAGAGTAATGAAGTCTGGCTTTGCTTGTTTTCCTTTTATCCCATCCCTGTAAAAAAGAAGACAATGGATCTTAGAAACCCTGGCATAAGAGTAGTAAAGGCAGCTGAAGGCAGCTTATTGCTTGTGAATCCAAAAGAAACTAAAGTAAAGCTCAGAGGAAGGAGCCGTAACATTCAGGTATGTGTCCAAAGGGAAAGAGAGACACTCTGGAAACTGCAGGATGCTGGAGGCTAGGGAACCAGCTGCTACAGTTGACATGGGAGTCTCCTGCTACCAGTAGTATTACCATCTGTAATCTGATGTCAGCAAAACGCCCTGAAATCTGCCAAAGCTTCTTCAAACTGGCGTTTCTTTTATATTTAAATATATTTTAAAAGCAAGAAACCAACCAACACATCTTATTCTCTAAGCAAAAAAAACACCAAATAAAAATATAGGGCTCCTTTGTACACACTATATGTAATACAGAATAGTAACAGAAAGGAAGAAAGAGTAGTAAAGGAAAGATAATGTCCATTAAAAAATGCTTCTGTTCACCTCTGCATTCCACCTGTAAGTTTTGGTCAATTATACTCCTTCAAATAGGCTTCTTTTTTATTATCATCATTTTTTAAACAGCTCTGGAGAGGATTTTTATTGTTAAATCCCTAATCTGAATTTTGCTCGTGAACTCTTCTGCAACAGAAAAAAACGAAAACCGTCTGCAAATGTGGGAGAATTCTTATTATGTACATCTGAACATGCACATTTGGCTTTCGTTGTGCAGTGTACCAGACAGCTACAAAAACAGAGGGTAGCCTATTACAGCGTTAGTCAACACTTTAAACTTTGGATCTCACTTATCCTGAAAGACAGTGACCTTTCTGGCCTTTCAAGCAAGCCTATTTCCTCTTGGCATACAGCCGACACAGGTAATGCAGGAGTTGTTTGACTTTCACATCGTCTTTAAACAGGTATTGTGAACATCCATGATAATAGCTTCAAAAAGGCAGTTCAGCGTATGTACAAGCATTACACCTGCCCTAGGCCTCTTTGCTGGTTTTGGGGCTTTACAGTCATCTTTTCCTGTTTCTGAAAGCCTGCTGGGGAAGGGTGAGGGGTATTCCATTATTTGGTGAAAAATACACAAACAGCATATAAGGAAATGCACAACATTTCCAACACAACTTCCCAAAACAAGTTCAACAACAGGTTGCTTTTTTTCTTCCTTTCTCTGTACAATACTACTTGCTAATTTTACTCAGGTTTAGTAGAAAACAGCAATAAATGAGAGGGAGACTTTTAGTGGGATGTCGATATCTTAGAGACCTACCTTGAAAGAAACTTTTGACTCGGAGATAGCTGACGCTAAGGCGCAAGACAGAAAGTTTGTCCAGCTTCGATACGATGTCGGGTGGAAAAGGCAAGAGGCTGGCCAGATGGTCCAGTTCCGCGTTCAGGCGGTCCCTGTGTCTCTTTGAAGGATTCGATCTTTCATTCCCAACTGCAGGCCTTCTGTGGTGGAGAACACATTTTCGATTACCTGTTTTACCTCCAGATAGTACAACCAGAGACTGAGATGTTGTCTGCAATTAGTTGGTTACAGGCATATTTAATCTAGCTGAGATGAAAATCTTTCTGTCCCCTGCCAAAAAGAGAAAACCATTCTTCATTTGCCATAGTGCAAAGACATGGACATTGGCCTGTTTTTCCACATCTGCCCAGTGAAAAACAGACGAAGAACTGATACCTATTACTCAGGACCCTCTCACTCTAGGGGAATGGTTAATATCTTCATGTTCTGGTCAATAGGGAAAAACAATTTCTCATCTATGTTGCAGAAATTAGGGTCAAGAACAGCAGAGGAAAATTACCATGACTAATGCATGAACCCATTGAATACCCACTGCATTCATTCAAAGCATCTTAGATCAATTAGTTTAATGACTCTAAGTTAACCTGTGGGTCAGAAAATAAGTAAGAGCCTGTCTTTTGACATGAGTTTAAAAAGTATGGGAAGAAGGGTGAAAAGATGTTCTTTCCTCAAGCTCAAAAATCCTGTGAACATACCTACATTTACCTTGCTACATCACTAATAACAAAGATAAAAATATGGTTTCTCTCTTAAGAGCATTGATATTTCTCCTACAACATAAGGATTGATGCTACCCAGATTTCTAAGCCAAGCCCTCCTAGTCCATCCCCAATTCATGTCCCTCTCATGCAGTAGACAAGACGGGATACCTCGGAAAAGCTACAGTGAAAATGCATTAAGATGAAATACATCACAAATGAGGAAGCTCAATTTTGGTGTGTCTGCTGATACTCTTCTCACAGAATGTGTAAGATGCTGCTCTCAAGAGGGAGAAAAGGAAAAGCTGGTGTACTTGCACACAACGGGAACCTGATTTCCAGCACAATAGCAAGAGGTGGTCAGTGCTGAAGAACTGACTTGTCTATTAAGCAAGATGACTTGAGTGGTAAGTTTGAGAAGGTGGTTATCTCCAGCAGACAGCCATTGCTGGACCCAGCAGTAGTCAACTGCATTATCCAGGAATGGGCCACAGGCCACTGGAGCCATGAACTACATGGACCTACAATATGAGAAGAGGGAGTGCTATAGCTTGAGTGCTATAGCTGAGCTGGCAACAAACCGGGGGATTTAGTGCTGTCTGCTGGTTCTCCACACACTCTTGTAATGTCCATGTTCAAGTTCTTATTGTACCACATTGCCACATTCCTCCTGAGGCATTTCTCAATGTCTCTTATTCCTCCAGAATAAAAGACATTGAGGAAAAAAAAAAAAATCAATGAGGAAAAGATGGAAAAATACTCAAGAATGGGAACTGGTAGGAAAGGAAAATATGGGTGTGTTAACAGTTTCCACTTTCACCTCACTAAAGCGAGGATCATAACCATATGTATCTTAACTGGTGCTCCAGTGGAGAATCAGAGGAAAACTAATTATTTGCAGCACTTTACTACTGCATTTCCATGCTCCATGCATTTATTATATTTTTCAAGAATAATTTCTGAAGTTTGAGCATTAGTATTTCACAAGATGGTCAAAGGCTTAAATTACAACCTTTGCATGTTACCCTCTTATAAGTGTAATATTATCACTGCAACTGTGGTTTAAAAAAACGTGCTTATGAATTAGTTAAAAAAAAAGGATTGATGTTTTGTGCCTGTAATTGCTACCAATTAAAAATCTCTTAAGGCAAAGTAGGCATGAAAAAATTGTGCTCCCTTTGAGAGCATTTGAGAGCTTCATTTTAACAGGACACATTGATGAACAGAATGAATGAAAATATATTTGAGGTAGGTGTCAGTGAAAATAGGTAGTTTCTGCTTTCTCATTCAAAATTGCCAGTACTGATAATGTGGCCCTTCAATAATACAACCAGTTGCTTTCAAAGACATGGGGAAGATTTTGTTGATTGGAATCAATACAAAGCTTTCTTGCATTACAGAGAGTAAAAAAGCAGCAAATAATGTAATAAACAAAGTAGGAATACTCTTTTTTCACTTTTCCAGTTAACTTCTTTTTTTTTCCCAAAAAGGTTGTGCATAGTGGGCACTAATTTTTGCAGTAGACACTGAAGCTCAGCCATCCTCACTGTGACCCCAAAAGGATGTCTGACCTGTGGAAAGCAGTAATTCTGTGGGAACGTAGCCTATAGCTGATCAGAAACTGAAGAACATTAGCTTTTACTAATTGCTTTTTGCATCTGACAAACCAGCTGAAGCAAGGAAGCAATTTAGGACAGAAAAAAAATAATTCCAATAAGGAAATTTAGACTGATGAGTTCAAGGGGCAAAAATTGTCAAGATTAACATTGACTAGAAATAGAAATTGTTCAAGTCTACTTGCCACATAAAATAGTGACTGCTCTCTGCCAGAGAGGAATGGTTCGAGGCCATTATGTGCAGTGTTTGCACTGAGTGTAAGGAACAGTTCTCTGGAGATTGCAGGGAATGGTGTAAAAAGACTACAAGAGAAAGTTCAGGACAGAGTCTTCCTGAAAACTGAAGGAAATGATTCAGTAAGGGAGTGAATCCAAACAGAGGTTTGATGGAAGTGGCAATGAGGTGCCAAGTGGATGCGATTTTAAACAATGCAAGTTCCATGGAAAGGCCAGCTTAGCTATCCATAAACAGAAAAGGGCAGGCAGGGAAATTCTTCAGTGGGCTGCTCTGAGGCAAATTGAAATTCTAGCCCTTATTTTGAGCTGATAGTAGATAGTGCTTGTGTTTCTGTTAAACTCCAGATTCTCAAACTCTGTAGCACTCACTCGATGATACCTTTCTTACTCTACTTTTCATGCAACACTACTACAGTGAAGTAGCACATGTAGAATAAAGTTGGCATTTCCTTCTTTGAGTCGTTAAACCATCCAAATGCTGCTATGCAGTTACAAGTCCTTCTACCTGCACAAGACCCATATCAGCCATCCCTGTTCAGTAGGAACTGAGTGTGGGAGCTGGTGCAGAGAACTTTTCCCGTTTCGGTGGTACATACGTAAGGCACTGAGCCATTTGTGCTGTAATGATTCAGTGTGCCTATGACACACAGACTGCCACTAGTGTAAACCAGTTTGGTGAGCTTGCAGAGGAATTTCCTGCAGCTACAGCCCTGCCTGCTGCTCTCTACCCTCTGCGGGAGCCCTACCCTGTTAACGAAAACTTTACTCTGAATAAGTTTATTAAGAATCCTTTAAACCAGCAGATGACCTAAACTGAGAAAAAGCTAATTATTTACTATGATGGCAAGCATTTGGTAAGAAGGCAAAGGGAAGAGAGAGACCATAAGATGCAACAGATAGGCTAAGCACAAAGTAACAGCAAGATGATTCTCATGAAGGCACTGACCAGCACCCACAGCCACTGAAATGTGCTTGAGCATTGCACAGGTATCCTGGTAGAGCTGAGCTCCAGTGCCAGCTGTGCATTTGCAGATGTTCGGTGTCTTCTACAAACCAAAAGGACCAAATGACAGAAAGCTATTTGAGGGAAAGGGGGACCTTTGCCATCTTCAACCTCTTCTGGGTCTTTACAGCAAAGAAAGGCAAAAGCAGAAGTAATGGTCGAGAAGATATCAAACTGATAGAGCAAATGAGAGGTGGGATAGTGTGATCTCAAGGAAGAGGAAGGGCTATGCCACAGAGGACAGTAAAATGCAGACTAAGAAGCAGGAAAGAGCTGCACCTCCTGAAGTCCCTGTTTACCCTGGCACTGGTACGGTTCTGGCTGAAGTGGGCAGTTTGGAGCAGTTACTGATACATGCAGAGCTAAGACAGCTGTAATTTGCCTTTAAGTTGCTGTAAAACATTACAAGAAAAGTTTTGTTGGAGGGAGAGAGTTTTACAAGATGCCAGGGTTTGAGACGAAGAAGTGGCTGGAGCTCTCAAATGGTAACAGCATTGCCTTAGCATCTCTAATATAAACATTAATTTCAGCACAGTGATTTTAGTTTGAGGTTAAAAACAAGATCTCTTTTAGTGTTGGTTTAGTTTTCAGATGCTTGAATTACCAGTAAAATGTTAGATTCCAATAGGAAACAAACACTTGGTAGAAAATGTTTCCTTCAGTCAAAAATCCAGTTCTCTGGCTGAAAAGCCTATCTGATGGAAAATTTTCAATCAGTCCGAGCTCCAGGTGTTTGAATTGAGTCCAGAAAAGCCAAAATTCTTTAGTGTAGACCACATCTAATGGGGTTTGTTTGGCAGCTTTCTGGGGCAAAAGGAGAACAGCTAGGGGAGTCTATTTATTTGCATGTATAAAAGTAGAACTTAAACCTGATGTACTGCCTGAAGAATGGCAACCTAACGAACACAGTCTCTCCTAGTTCTGTGTAGAGAAAACGATGCAAACATATTAGATCCCCTCAGTGAAACAAGTTTTCCACACATTCTTCCACAGTATTGTGGGTCTCTGAATTCCCTTAAACACTTAAACAGGGGAGTGACACAGTAAACAGTGAGAGTGCTCAGGCACTGGCACAGGTTGCCCAGAGAAGCTGTGGCTGCCTCATCCCTGGCAGTGTTCAAGGCCAGGTTAGATGGGGCTTTGAGCAACTTGATCTAGTGTGAGGTGTCCCTGCCCATGGCAGAGGGGTTGGAACTGGATGATCATAAGGTCCTTTCCAACCCAAACCATTCTGTGATTCTGTAATTCTCCTGTGGAGCTTCTTCATATATTTTCATTACTGTTCTGTAAAACTACCTCAGAATAGAATGTCTGTACCTGAAAAGCCATGAACATGATGAGCAATATAATTCAGTGACATCCTGTATTAAAAGCCATATGCAGGATCACCACCTGGTTTAATAGCCTGATCACAAAAAGCTGATGGAGAAGCAGAGAGTTGCCTTCCTGGGATGCACTGAGTATGGGTAGATATGAACATCTCAGGTGTTCTGCAGAGGGGAAAGCTGCACCTCTGCCCTTGGAATCCTGACCGGCAAAAGGACTAATCCATGAATCTGTACAGAAATCAAAGTATTCTGCTCAAACTGGCACCTGAGATTGCTTATTCCTTTGTCAGGAGAAAGTTAAATTTTAGAGGCTGTTAATGATAAAAACTCAGGACCCATCATTAGGACTGGCCAAAGAATTCCCGTCAACTTTTATTCCTATGAAAAATTAGGTTATTCAACTGAACAAATACCTGTCCCAGAACAGGTGGCAGCATCTACCATGATTCATTATCAGAATGGCAAGGGGAAAAGTAGAACAGGGCCATGGCAGAAAATCCACTATGCTACCAAGTAAGAGAAAAAAAGCTGTACTAAAAATGGTACAACATGGATGAAAATTGTGACTAAATATCCTGTTCAATTAATAGGCTTTGTCTACCCTTCTAAATTCAAGATAAATGATTTGAGGCAGCATAACAGTAAGGATACCTCGGAGCCCTGAAATGTCAGTAAGATTTGTAGAACTGAAGGACATAGCCTGTGAAAGGAGCTCTGTCAGCCAGTCATTCTTGGTCATTCAGAGCCTCTTTAGATGAGAGTTAGAAAGTCCCTGAGTGAGGGAATGAGCACAGGAAAGGCTTACCAGAGACCAAGCCCACAAGCAGATAAGAAAGAGGCCAGTGTTACCAGGAACTGAGAAACCATCCTCAGCAAGCAGTAAGTAACTAACCACAGAAAATAGAGGGCTGGCTTCAGTGAGGGAGCTCAGTATTATAACAATACAAATGATCCCCTTTGTTTTAATCAAAATCAGGTTTCCTAATCAAAATTTTCTATGTTCTGGCTGGATAAGCTCATGCTCAGGTACCTCTACTGAAAATACCAAAGCTATTTTCAAGGTAGCATACTGCAATGGCTCCTAAGGTGAAAACTTGATTCCATCAAAGTATGTTGGATTTTGCTTATGATTTTGTTGAAGTCAGAACTTAAAAAAAGGCTTATGAGGACATTCCCACCCTTTGACATGAGGTGGTTCTCTTAACCATTGCATTTATCTAGAAGTGACCTTTGGGAAAATTTCTAGCTAGCATACACACTCCAAACATGAAGCTCAATGGTTCTCAGAGCAACTGCACGTCTCCCTCCTTTCTCACAAAAATGAACATGAACAGTTCTGCACAGAGGTAATTTCATGTACTAGAGCAGTCCACACCTCATGCAGTTATAAAGTTAAATATCCACATCCATACTTGACCAGTAGTGCCGAAATGTTACATACGTTTTGGATTTAACACTGATTTTGCATGAAGAATCTTTTTTTTATGTCATTATCTTTGCCTATTGAAATTGTCACCTATGATGTATTCTGCACTAAAAGAGATATTTTTAAGTGGGAACAAGTAGTTCATGTGCAACTACTCTCCAAAACCCGAACAAAATCAACAGATCTCACTCAAACATTCAGAGACACTCCCCTTTGACTTTGGACCAATATATACAACTTTAAGCCAAGTGGGTTATTTTTAGAAGCTCTGAACAACCAAAAATAGGGAAATCTATTTTAGTTACCTTTTCATCCTTAAATCATCTGTGAAAGCCACCAGTGCTACTTCATAATTTTAACACAGCAAAAATGTGGGTTTCATAACCATATAATCAAGTGTAACACAGAAGATGTGGGATGATTCTATTAAAAACCTTCATTTCACAGAGTGGTTTATGGCATCTGGAAATCATTTTACATTTGAGCGATAGCAACCTTCTCCCCCTCCCATTTCAAGCATCTTGTAGTAACAACTTCCCATTGCTATTTTTCTTTTTCTGCTTTGCCTTCACACGTACAATTCCTCTCTCCTGCTTTTCTCCTAATGAAAGCAACCCCAGAGTAAATAGTGGTTTGAAAATGATGTGTGTTTTATGCAAGAAGTGAGTCACCAGTATGCTTTTTCAGTTGGCTGAACTGACCCACTTTCCAGGCTCGCACATGTTGGACGTAGCGATGCCCCAAGCAAGGCTAAGCCAAGGAAGGGGGAAGCCAGCACGCTGGTGCCACTCGACACACAGCTTCTCCTTGAACAGGCACCAGGGAACACAGAAGTGCAGCTGGAGCAGTCACCCCTCCAGGCACTGCCCAGCTGACATTTAGTTCAGCACTACCTTCTGACTAGGAAAAAGCACTGTCTCCCTCCTCACAGCAGTGTACTCTGTACACAATGAGTACACACCACAGCTACCACTGGGCTCCTCCTGGGACACCTAGTGATGGGTAAGGACAGCTTGACCCACACTCAGCATCCTTTCTGGAGCCAGTCTTAACCATGAAAAGCCAGCCTCCCAGCCAGGGGTTTCTCACTGCAGAGAAAGCTATTACGTCTCTCCTGTGCTTGTGGACCATAGAGGAAGGAACTCCTTTTACTGCATTTCTAGCGCATATATTTGGAGGGAGATACCTCCTGATGAATATGATACTTAACTGTTTCTGAATGGGTTTCCTCCTTTTTCTCCCAGCATATAGGCATTCCCCCGGAGGAATCATTGTTTGGATGCTGCAAAACAAAAGGAGTATGTTTCTTAGTTCAGAGGTTTCTGGATTTCATATTGCTGTACAAAATGACAGCACCGAGAAAATTCAGCCGAGGAAAATGTTTGTTCCTTGAGTGTGGCATTCAACAACACTAAAAAGCATGGTGGCATTAGTTAAGATAGAAGATTAAGGCTTATTCCAATTTCCTACCTTAATATTATTAGAATATTGATGTTTATATTCAATTTTCATTTTTTCAAATTAAGCATTCCAGATATGGTATAAAATGGGTATAAAATACATCCTGTTTATTGGATATCCAAATTTTTTTCCCCTTCTAGGCTCATTTTTAAACTCAGCTAAACAAATAAGAATGAGTAATACTATCCATCAACTTCTGCAGGGAGGATTTCACATCATTTTTAATACACAGCAATATTGTGTTCCATTACTGACACCGTGATAAGTAGGATGCAATTATTCAAATCAGCATTTTTCCAGGTCCTCACATCCTCATTTTTAAAGACTGAAAGTATATCTGTCTGCAGCTTGAGAAGTGACACATGGTATTGTGGTTAGCACTAGGACCCAATGCAGTGCTGATGGAGGTGACAATTTTCAGACAAAACTTAACCTTATTACTGCTCCCTTTGAGCACATTAGCCTTAGAGATATTGCAGGTTCTGAAACAAGTCTTTCCATTCAGTTTGTTTAAGTCTTCTGGAGATTAGCTGAGTATCAAGCTGAGTATCATCTTTCTGTATGAAAGAGTATTTTAGTTTTGCTGTGTGCTGTTCAACAGCGGGTGCACAATGCCTGAGAAGTTACTGTATCTCAAGAGTATTTGCTGCTTTGTGTAAGTTGTAAAATTAAGAGGAGCTTCTATGTCACTGAATCAGATCCCTTGCTACTGAAGAAACATATGTCATGTAATGCAATCATAAACTTTCTGAACTTCAATTAAAAACTGTTGAGAGGAGCTTTGCTTTTCATTGAGAGACAGCTTTCTGATAACTAGAAACCTTTTGCTTCCCAGCTGAGATTTGTTCATGGTCATTTTATGCCCATTTGTTCTTCTGCCAACATTGTCTTTTAGTTTAAATAGCTCTTCCTCCTCTGTCGTGTTTACTCATTGGCATATTTTTAAATATCAGTCATATCTTCAGTCAGCCTTCTTTTTTCTATTCTGGGACAACCCAAACTCTTTTACTCCCCTCTCATGTTACAAACTTTGTACTCTTCCTATCATCTTAGAAGCCTTTATTTTCTCCTTTCAGTCAATCTGTCTGAGGCACAGATAAACATAATCATGCACAGTATAGTAAGTAAAACCTAGAAGTATTTAATAGATGCATACATACTCATATTTATTGACAAATCGTTAATTCTTAATGGGAATTATTTCACTTGATAGTAGCATGACTGTTTTTTTCCTTTCATAGCCATTATCCAATTCATGGCTCACAGTCATCCTGTGGTCACCTAATATGCACAGTTCTCTGTCTTCATGCATCATTTCCAATAAACGAATTCACAGTTTATGGATGAACTGACTTCTAGTGGCCAAGTGCCTAGGCACCCCATTCATGCAGTTAATCTCCAGTTCATTTTTGCTGTGTGAGAAATGTGTCCTTTTCTGTGTTGATGAAGTTTATTGCTACAAATCTGGTTTTGCATGAAATTTCTTAGTAAAAATGCCATTGTATAAAACCTGATAGTTGAGGAACTCTGCTTGTAGTTTCCCTCCTTTTCCTTTCAGCACGTGCTGTTGACCCAGTTCCTTTCCCCAATTCTTAACTAGTCCTCAGCAGCACAGCATCCTTCACTAAATTGAGTTAGATTAGGTCTACCATACTTCCCTCATCTGGAAAATTAGGTGTTTGTACAACAGACAGCTGTCAGCTTACTTTATCAAAATCATCTAAACCTACATTCCATTTTTACTCCATTACACAACTAACCACAGCCATTTATGGCTCTTTCCTTGAAAATTCATTCTAAAATGATGCATAATATAGACATCAGATGAATAAGTCATTAGCTGCCTTCTCTCAATTTTAGCTGGTGATGGAAACACCCGTCATCCTCCAGTTGGTGTAGTGTCAGATACAGAGCACTTCTGTGCTCTGACAGAACCTTTCTTTCTTCCCTATTACCAGGACGATTTCATGTGACCTGATATTGGTGAGTTGCCTGGCCAGAACCGAAGAATGATACGATACAGTGCAACAAATACTGTTCCAGGTTAAGAAAGCTTGTTTATCCTGCAGCCTTTGCTTAAATAAAGTCTTCTCACCAAAGGTCTCCTCAAAGACCTGGTTAGTTTAGTCTACAGGCTGATTTTTTGCAACAGTCTGAGAGTTAAAATTTCACCTACCCCAGTGGATTTTCTGCTCCAATGGAAAGCTGAAATAGGGTGAAGATGTCAAAAGAGTTGCTTCAGTTTCCTGTTAGACCTTACATTAAAACACATTTCTTTATGTTTGTGGTGGATTGACCTTGGCTGGACACCAGATGTCCACCAAAGCTTCTGTATCACTTCCCTCCTCAACTGAACAAGGGAGAGATAGGGGCAGGGAGAGATCACTCAGCAATTACTGTCACGGACAAAGCAGATTCAACTTGGGGAAAGTAGCTTAATGTATTACCAATCAGAGTAAGGTAATGAGAAATAAACCCAAACCTGAGAAACACCTTCTCCCTACCCCTCCCTTCTTCTTGAGCTCAGCTTCACTCCTGATTTTCTCTTTCCTCCCTGCCAGTGGCACAGGGGAACAGGGAACGGGGGATGTGGTCAGTTCATCACACATTGTCTCTGCCTCTCCTTCCTCCTCAGGGGAGGACTCCTCACACTCTTGCCCTGCTCCAGTGTAGGGTTCCTCCCAGAGCAGACAGTCCTCTATGAACTTCTCCAGTGTGAGTCCTTCCCACAGGCAGCAGATCTTCATGAGCTGCTCCAGCGTGGGTCCCTTCCATGGGTGCAGCTCTTCAGAAACAGACTGCTCCAGCGTGGGCTCCTCTCTCCCCAGGGCTACAGGTCCTGCCGGGACCCTGCTCCAACACAGGCTTCCCACAGGTTTGCAGCCTCCTTTGGGCATCTCCCTGCTCTGGCGTGGAGTCCTCCATGGGCTGCAGGTGTAGATCTGCTCCACCATGGACCTCCATGGGCTGCAGGGGCACAGCTGCTTCACCATGGTCTGCACCACGGGCTGCAGGGGAATCTCTGCTCTGTTGCCTGCATCACCTCCTGCCCTCCTGCACTGACCTGGGTGTCTGCAGGGCTGTTGCTCTTACATGTTCTCCATTCTCTCTCTGGCTTCAGATTCCTTTGCAGTTTTGTTCCCTTTTCTAACTATGTTATCCCAGAGTCAGTCACTACCACCATTGCTGATGGGCTTGGCCTTGGCCAGTGGTGTGTACATCTTGGGACCGACTGGCATTGGCACTGTTGGAGAGAAGCTTCTACCAGAAGCCACCCCTGTAGCCTGCCCCCAAAAAAACCCTGCCACACAAACCCAATACAATATTGTATTACTTTCATGTTCTGAGTCCTTTCCGTCCATAATACGAATGTATGACTCATAGTTCATATTTCAAAACAGTGTCACATGCTAGACTTCCCTTCTCTTGCTTTCATGAGCAAAATTAGGAGGAGAAAGACTTGGACTGCGTAATTCAACTGAAAACTGAAAGTTAAGAGTTCATTTGATTTCCCAAAAGGACCACATCAGTTTAAAACCCATTCTGGTTCAGCTGATGAATATGCAACAGTGAACAGAAATAAATAAAAAGACCTCAGTATTCAAACAACTGAAAACCAGGGAATAAATACCAAACAATACGAGCTAGAATTTATGAAGTGTAAACTGCTGGTTAAGAAAGATAAAGGCCCACGGGAAAATTCACAAGTTGCAGCACTGAAAAGATAATATGCTTTTTAGAAGACTATTATGAACAAAATAAGTCCAAGATGGAGGTGGCTGTATGCTAGAACTGCATAAAAGGTGACAGTGTTCAACCCATTTATTGCTAGTCTCTGAAAAGAAGGAGAATCATGCACTTGCATCAAAAAGAGAATAAACCATGCACTCTTCAGGCTTTCTGCAGGAACTATCTACAGAATTAGAACAAGGGGTTACCACAGCAACATGGTATGAAGAACTGCCTCAGCCACTGAGCACCAGCATCCTAGATATGCATACAGACAAGAAGTGCTTCTGCTGCTACCACCACTGCCAGTAGTGGCACACAGATAAAATGAGTTAGAGTATGAATGTACAGGAATAATGACAAAGTCAGAAAGCTCATGGCCAATGGTCCTAAAAATACAGCTGAAAAAAGCACTTGAAGTTATCGACCTGCACAAAACCATAGGCCAAGAAAACATTTCTTTTAAAAGCTGAAGAAGAGCACATCTGCATGGTCCCACTTGGACTGTGCCCTCTTCTGATGTCTGCTGACAGCAGTGAGCTCTGCTCTGCACCGCTGGGACAGAACAGTCCACCTCCACCGCTGCAGGAGGCTGGGGGGCTCCTTCCCTTACCAGCCCAGCAGCCTCATCTGTGAATGAGAAACAGGAAGCCGGGGGAACAGCACTCAGCTGCTCAGACCAATTGTGCTCTTTCCTCTCTCTTTCCCTCTGCAACACTTGAGAGTCCTCACATGTTTGAAGAAGGCTGAAGATGAACCCAAAGCAGCAACCTTCTACCCCTTCAGCAGCAGGAGAGAGGCCGTACAAGCTTGAGGAGCTTCGGCAAGAGGAGAGCTGGAGCTGAAAGGAACAGAACTGCTGGGAAAAAAGGGCAGATGCAGGCCATGATCATTCACTTATGTCAGATGCTTTTAATCACTGCTGCCATTAAGTCATAATGAATCCCTGAACACTGGGGAAATCCAAAGGACTGAAAGGCAGATGCTATATGACAATCTTCAGAGAAGGGAAACATAACAATCCAGCTAACCACCGGATGGCAAGGCTGACGTCCATCCCAAGCAAAATACCAGAAAGCTGATAAGAAAGAC